ATATAGTACATATGTATAAGTATATATAACCGAATCTAATATTTTAACATTCTTGTAAGAAAACAATTAACGATTTGTAGCGTTTTTAGGTAGAAAGAAAATGTAGTTTCTAGATTGAAAAAAAGAAGTATAATAGTCGAGATATATTATGTACATTTCTTGCGTGCAATTAGTAAGTATACAGAAAAGCTTGCAAAATTTGTTGAACAAACTGTAGGAAGTACTTTTCTCCTTTTCTCATACTTGTATCTTGTAAAGAGAAAAGTTTTATTCGTCTTATCTTGTCGAAGGTAGTCAATTGCAGTAATATTAATAGCACAGAAGTATAAGGCGAATAAATCTATTAGTATTATAATTCACAGTGTACGCATATAAAGTAGTTTGAAAATGGTATAAATTGCGCCTATTATCGCTAAAACGATAAAAGGATTATACAGGGTATTACACAAAATAGATTCTACAAACTGTCTCTATACAGAGCATTCCTGTTAGAATACAATTTAATGCTGTTTTTTTCTGAATGAAGATTATCTTATAATTCGCCATCTGTATTAAAAAATATTTGTTGAACAATACATTTGAAGAGATTACCCGAGATTCGATAACACCTTTGTGTATTTGAATGTTTTAAAATTTTGACAGATTACAATGTCGATATGTTTCAAAATAACGATTTTAAAATAGTGATTTTTTGTTTTCGGGAAACATTTTTAGAGCTTATTTACATTTCAAATATTTTTTCTATAAATTTCATAAATATATAAATATACTATTGCTTTATACACGAATAATATTTAGTTTTCACGCTATCGGTGATTTTGAAAGTTTATTATAAAATCTTTTCTTTCCTCCATTTTCAGCATAAAAACTCGTGATAATTAACTGCAAAATATAAAACTAAAATTTTGAAGTGAGATTAATTTGTTTAAAATTAAACAAAAACTTTTTATTTACAATCGCTTGTAATATAATCAGAAGTTATAGATTTGATGAGATATTTGTTAATGAGAATTTGGATCATTCAATTCAGTTAGTGAAAATAGATGAAGTTTGTAAAATTTATTTAATAATGTTTTGTATTTTTATCCGCAATTGCAATGAGGGTATATAACAAGTTTTAGGCTCCGTTTTCTAACTACAGTGCGTATAATTGTATTACATTACTGATGGAAATTTATGAAATTTGTACAAAGGCCAATATATATAATATTTATACTATGAAGTAATAGTAGTCTATTAGCACCAAGTATACCCTCACATAGTTTTCTATATCTACCAAGAATATAAAAAATTGAGTGAATGCGTACTAAGTGCATCCAACCGAAATTGCTATAAGAAAAATTTTCTATATTAATTTATTGTACCGCGCCAACTTAGGAGCGACGTTAATGCGACGCCAATTAATCTTTTTACATTAAACAGCCAACAAGATTGATTAGTACAATAAATCATTTTGTTAACAATTATCGTTGGACTTGCGTCATTAAATGTGTATGCTGGTCCATTTGTCCATTTGTTGGATATTTTGTAATTCAAATATTGCCTGTTGGCTATATATAAATATGTGTATTTGACAGACTGCCATAGTTAATATTATTATATGTATGTATGCGCACGCGCGCACGCGCGCACTCCACACACACACACACACACACACACACATGCGCGCGCGCACACACACATAATACACGTTAAAGCTTATATAACGAGTAATCTGCCATAATCTTGGCCACATTGTAGCATAATAAAATATAATGGAAATTGTGCGATTTATTTCATAAGTGCGTAACATGAGTATAAATGCATTTTTCAGCAAGCAATTTAAAAGTGCCAAAATTAACGATATTAGTCGCGACAGTTTCGATAATGTTATATACAGGGTGTATCTGAATGGTCTGTACAAACTTTGGGAATAAGTTCCAGAGGTCTAAACAAGCAGAAAATGTCCCATGAACATGAGATCGGAAACGCTTGCTTCTGGAGTTACAGCGGTTCGAAGTTTTCCTGCAATGGCTGGAGAAATCATCACGTCAGATCGCATAAGAGTTACAAACTGTGTTCATTTATTATTTGCTATAGCAAATTATTTCCTGATTTTGCCACGGACATAACAAGACAGTACACCTGCTATAGCAAATACTAAATACTAAATAAACTCCTATGCGATTTGATGTGATGATATCTCCAGCCATTGCAGGAAAACTTCGAACCGTCGTAACTTCAGAAGCAAGCGTTTCCGACACCATGTTCATGGGACATTTTCTGCTTTGGTCCCTGGAACTTATACCCTAGTTTATATAGACCATTCAAATATACTCTGTATATGTGTGGGTATATATATATATATA